GACTAATCATTTGGAATGACCTTGCAAAACATAAATTCACTAGATAAGAATAAAATAAAGATTTTGTTATCTTTGTATCGGCTTGTTCGTGGAACGCCACACTTCGCTGATTAAGTCTTTGAGAAATCTATTTTTCTTCGAGACGGAGAGATCTAAATATATTATTAGATACAGGTTTTTTATGCTGATTATGAGTTTTACATTTTTTTAAATCGGAATTTTAAACTTTTCAAAAGTTCTTTTTGAAATTTCGTAACCAAGAACTTTTTCAAAAATGTTGAGTGACATACCATTCGATATAGAATTTAATTTTCCACAAAGTAGCATTTTCGTTTGTGATATCGATCGGTAAGGAAAACCCGTACATTCTTGTACAGTTTTCCACTTACTGTATAGTTAATCAGCTCCCATTTTGATGTAGCAACTTGATTCTTGCATTGAACGGTTAATGTATGATAATGACCAATAATTTTGAAAATTAAATATGCATATCTGAGCATGTTGAGTACCTCAAAATTGATCGACAAGAAACACTATAATAGCATTATGAAAAACGTAACGCTGCTATGTTTCTTTTTTGCAGTCTTTGTTTGAACAAAAATAGTTTTAGAAACTCTTTTTTATCGCTGATAAGATTGTTCGAATATCTACAAAACTCTCTGTAGAAGTGTTTCAGTTGGAGAAATACTTTTGCAAGAAATTAGAGTTTTATTAGCAATGTTGAAGAAAAATGATCGTTTTGTGTAACAGCGTTACACGACAATAAAACTTTCCTAGAAACCCAAGAGTTCAGCCAAAAAAGATTATTCATATAGCATAAACAGGTTATGAGAACTACTAATGGAACATCTTGTAAGAAAGATCTTGGCTAAGATACAAAGCACAGAAAAATGAACAGATCTTGACAAATTTAGGCACAAGATAATGTGGTTATTTTATAGCAAGATTTGTAATTAGGTGTTAAATACAGATTTATTTGATGTAATCAAGATATAAGAATGTGACATTTCTTGCCCAAGATCTTCAAATCTGGTTCAAGATCTTGAGCTATTAATAGTTGTTAAAGATTATTTTGGCACTGGTTGGAACTATATTGTGCTGAAGTGCTCGAGAAAACACGATCTTTATTCAGTAGTGTTTATGAGAGTAGCGATTTCGATCGTTTTTCGAATAGAAAATTAACCTGTGACTTGGCTCCTTGTATTTGTAGGAGAAATCTGACTTTAGATTCATATTCAGCGTCTAATTTTATATCGGAGAAGCAATATTTCAGAAGTCTTTCAAGGCATCCTTACATGAATTGTAGTGATCGTTTTTGAAACATGTATATTTCAGCCAAGATTGTATAAATCTGTGCCCAAGATCTAATTTCAGATCTGACTACAAGGTAATCACATTATCTTATACCTAAATTTGCGAAGACCTATTCACTTGTCGGTACCTTGCATCTTGGCCAAGATCTTGCTTACAAGATGTTTACCTAGGGAATACGTCGAATAGCGTTGGAACGAACTTTCTAGGTCTCAAACCTTTCGAGATAATTGACAAAAGGGTCAAAAATGTAGCAGTGTTACGTTTGCGCAAACCAATATAATCTTTAGACGTGACCCTTTCAGATGGAAAAACATCCAAATGGACTCAACGTTTCATTGCTGAGAAATTCATATCGACATTTTTCCAAAGACTTTTGCGCCTCTTATTATTTATCGAAAACGAAGGGTATCATTGCATGAAGGTTTCGATATCTTATTATACTCTATAGAAAAAAAGATTCTTCCTTGGAAATTTCCAATTGAAATAATTTAAAACTATTTTATTGTTTATGTTTGTTTTACTATTTAAAGAAAATATAGCACCTGCTATGCAAGATGATCCAAATTCATTATATCAACGTCCTCGATCATTTTCCACTGTAACAACTCGAGTATCAAGAACACTAAGTTTTATAGGTCATCATTCTGATAGCTCATCAGATGAAGATGATGATAAGAAGGAAACAACAACAAATGAAATCGAAGAAAAATCAATCGGTCTAAGTGGAAAAGATATTGGTTATTCCGTTTCATATGATAAGACGGTTGAAGATTTTAGTTTTACAAGTACACGTGAACAAGCTCAAAAATAAATTTTACGTGATCAAAAAGAAGGGATATTACAATAAGCCAAAGGACGAGAATAAAAAGCTTACATATTATTCTTTTTTTCTTATGATTATTTTCTTTAAATTGCCTCTCTATTTGTTCCCTTTTTATGCTAAGGAAAACAACAAAAATAAAAAAAAATTGTTTTGTCAATCCGTACGATGATTCTACTTTGATTATGATGGTTACTTGATACTTTGTTCTAAACTAATGTCTTTCTATTATAATGATAGAAATTAAGAAAAAGAGACGAACATTTATTTTGAGATCTGAGTTTCTTTATTTGTACGAGCCATTCCACATAAACCACAGCCAATTCTTTATGACAGCGCTTAATCGATATCCTCCGATTTGACTCATTTTCACATATGTGATAGAGACAAATATTTGATGAATTTTGGTGAAAGCTGATTCAAAAAATGTTGAACCATTCGTTTTTTATCGCATTTTTACTGAAAGCACTATAAAATGACTATAAAACTCACTTTCATGAGGGACGATTTTGTACATCCCAAAAAATCAAGAAAACATCAACTGTTTGTGCTGAAATTTTTTGCACATCAATACCTAACTAACTAGGAAACATTCCCAACTATCACATCGATTTTGAGTCAAGCGTATGGACATCATGTAGACCCTAATGATCTATGAGTCCTCTGAAAAAAGTTCATGCCACTAGCTTCTTACTGCTGAGATATAGCATTTTTACTACTTGTTTAAGAAAAAAGTCGTGATTCTCCTCAGGAGCACCAGGAAAAGTGAGTTTTGAGTTTCCAGCTGAAACTTTGCATGTAGACAGGCCTCAATGAGAATAGTTCATTGTGAAGGTATTAGATCTTTTGTTTGCTCCTAGTCCGAAATAAGAACATCGGATCTGCTGGTGGATATGAGCAATTTTACGGTAGCTGTATCTTAGGATAGAAACAATGAAAAGAGCTGAAACTTTCACAATAAAATATTCTCATTGAGGCCTATATCTATGCAAAATTCCAAGTCGAAATTCGAAATTCAGTTTTCCCAGTGTTCCTGAGGGGGACCACAGCTTTTTTTTTAAACATACAGTAAAATCGTAGTATCTTAGTAGTAATAAGCTAGCGGCACGAACTTTTTTCAGAGAATTCATAGATCGTTAGGGTCTACATAGTGCACATACGTTCGACTTTAAAGCGATGTGACAGTTGAGAATGCTTCCTCGTGAGCACATTTGAGTATCAAACAAGCAATGTGAGTCGTTTAACTGATGATGAAACATGAACATTTCGGAGCGGAGCTCTTTCAGTGGACAAAGAGAGTCTATCAAGTTATCGTGATACTCATCCTGACAACAAAGCTAGCAGTGTGTCAGCTGAAAAGACAGTATCATGCAACTCTTTTATGGATGATGTATAGACCGGTCTGTTTTTTCTCACTAAGAGCAACGATTATAATACGAACATCACTTCTAAGTGAGATTACAATTCGACTCCTGTCAGCCGTCCGCAAGATATGTTCACACCATATTTATCAATTCTTTCTAACACTGACAATGAACGACATCATGGAAGAAACGAATCATCTGGTTTGTATTAATTATAACTTTGGGTTAACATAGAACTAGGCTATTTTTAGATGATATGGCGATCGATGAGGTGGAAACAGAGTCCAACACCACGGGCAACGTGGAAATTCCAGAGAATATCCGCTATAATAAATGTTGCCTTTTCGGTAATAAGACAGTACATGAGTGTGAACCAAATGCACACCGTGAGTTTTACAGATTAATGAATTCAGAGGTATATATATTTTGCTGTCAAAAAGATCACTATGGCTGGTCGCGAGAATGTGTTACTTTTGCTCACCTCCTCGAGTTTGATATTCGATCATGCTTAAAACAGAATAGAATCATTTCCAAAACGGAAGACGACAATATTGCTACGAATGAAAAAAACTTAATTGCCAATCGATTGCTTCGGAAAAGCATCCTTGTTGACGATAATATGAAAATTTGTTCCAAGCATCGAGCTTCTTTTGGTATCGATTGGTTTAATAAAAACATGACATATCACCATCCGGAGCACGACTTAAGCTACGGGTTCATCAATAAAAGACTGACGAAGAGTGAAGCTCACCACTTGTCTCAAGATTGAAGGTTTTCCAATAGGGGACAGGTAAGTTTGTTCTCATTCAGTGCTAACCTAGATGAGTTAACAAGTTGTGCTTTAAGATTATGTTCAAAACACCGAAAGCTGGTATTGTTGGTCGACAGTATCACATTGATGATGAGTAATGCCGTTTCTATTAGTGCAGCTTCTCAACATACAGCTGGATCTGCATTCGTGATCGATGATCGACAAGAAACGATGAATTGCATTCTTGCAGAAGTGAATTTAAGTTCAGTTCGATCTTAAACAACTAAATCAATAAAAAACCAGTCAGAAAAGGTCTTCATCGTTTATTGTCCAAATTCGCACGAGGATCAAGAGCTCTCCAATGTATATTATGAATCAAATAAAAATTATACTTAATATTGAGGTAATTAAATTAATTTAGACAAACTAGTTGAGACACTCATGTCTGGCCAAGGCCAAGAACTAATTCAAATAGCTCAGCTTCAATCACAAGCTAGAGAAGAACAACAATTTCAACTATCAATAAGTAATGAAATGGTTCAATGTCTCAAACAAGTCTATGATATATATGTCAAACAGAAGATGCCTTTCGTCGAGTAAGTTCGACTCTTTTCATTATTATCTTGTTCATGGAAATATGAAAAAGTAATGAATATATTTGGGTGTACCTGACATGCTGTCACAGCAGCTCATCAAATGTATGACGATGAAGAGTACCTGTTAAATAAGGACCAAGAACCGGTTATCCGACAACATACTGATCATGAAAAGATCAAACACTTTGTTAGTTGGCTTGCTGAGAGTAACACACTTGTCCCAGGTAGAGTCTATTTTTTTTTGTCATGCTCCTTTTCGTATTCATCTTTTTCTTGCTGGCAGACACATACGGTCTCACCACTTTACGTATGGACAATGAAGAAAAGTACGAATTGTAGAAACACATTATACAGTCACAACGGTCACATGCTCTTGTAGATTACAAGAGGTACTGTGACGAAACTGGATTTCAAAGTCTAGGAAAGAGTAAATTGTACGATATAATCGATAGTATCAAACCAGCAGAACAACGAACAGTGGCTGGACTTGATGAGTTTGTTATCGAAGGCATAGAAGCATGACGATCTCTTTCAAGTAAGGAAAAAGAATTAGGATTATCAGTGGTGAAATCAAACTTATTTCTATTTGTAGATATTGTCGAGACTATGCCCATTCCTCAAGCTGATCGAAAATGTTTGGTTAAACAAATCGATATGGCAGAGCAATATCAAAAAAGCAGGCACATTGGTCACTGTTCTGGTGATGCGAATTAGATCACTCACTGTACCACATTTGGTCTCTCTAATCCCAAATGTGCTGAGCATCATTCAAATTGTAATCATGCGCATACGGCTTACTGTCCTGACTGTATCAATATTATTGTGACTCTCGACGAGATCAGTCAGAAAATCCAAAATATTTCTGACAAGGACATTGAACGTGAAGCCAGATTTGATTTCAAGAATGCATCGGAGCATATTGTTGAGTAGTCACACGCCACAACCTTCGTGCTGCTCGTTAAGATGTCGAGAAGAAATCGATTATTTCGCAAATGGACAAAGACGAAGCTTTCTGCACATTTGACTGAGATCAAAAAACTTTACCCCAAGAGCATCGAGAGGCTCAAAGTATATATTTTGGAAAAAAAAGGAATACCGGTCCTTGTGGGCTCGTTCATTTGAAAAGATCGAGTACCGAGACTTGAGAGCACATCTACCACTATAACAAGTCTTTCTCCTCCTACATATTCTACTGAATCATAATACCAAAAAAACTCGGTTCCTACGTGCATTATCCTGATAATATACAACCATATTATTAAACGCTTCGTTTTGGTTCAGAACAAGTTTACATTTCTACTACTTAGGTAGCATGAAGTAACGATGAGGTTTACTACGAAGACCATAGATTCAGCAACTATCGATGAGAAAAGTTCCAGTTCGATCAGTTTAAGCGTAAGGAAAAACATAGAAGAAGAATGACTAGGTTTATTTTCATCCAATAGGATTCGATTAGTTCCCAGATCCAAGCATGGTGAGAACTTGACTCTAGCATATATTTTACTTTGTTGTCTGAGATCTATCATCCCAGAAAGTTTCAAATTTCTCGGATGAACCATTCACGAGATATTCAGAAAAACTGGGATATCAAAAATGAAGTTCATAAAATTCATTTTTTTGTATAAAAGATCGATCGATTGCTAAACGGCTCATGTGCGTCCCAAATTTATTTTTATGCCAGGTTGTAGATCAAAGTGTGGTCTTTAAAGCTGGATAGATGGGTAAAAAAGTTAGAGCTTGTTTTGGGGAAAAATTGAGGTCAAAGGTTGACTTTTTGACGAAAAATTGATTTTTTGTTCCAGTTACCCAGCACGAATACTTTGCTCTAGGCAGATGAAATTTATGTGATATTTAAGCAGCATTGAGATGTGCTTGTGTTCAAAATTTTAGGTCTCTATCATTCTCTAATCTGGAGATATGAAGAGCGAAAGTTGCTCAAAAAATTGATTGTTCCTCAAATCGTGGAATTCATAAAATATCAACGACTCAACCGTTCGAGCTGAAATTTATGGTATGTGTAGAACTTAGTTAGGTATTGATGTGCAAAAACTTTCAGCATAAACGGTTGACGTTTTGTTGATTTTTTGGAATGTACAAAATCGTCCCTCATGAAAGTGAGTTTTATAGTCATTTTATAGTACTTTTAGTGAAAATGCGATAAAAAATTAAGGGTTCAATATTTTTTGAATGAAATTTCACCAAAATTCATCAAACACTTGCCTCTATCACATATGTGAAAATGAGCCAAATCGAAGGATATCGATTGAGCGCTGTCATAAAGAATTGGCTGTGGCTTATGTGGAATGGCTTATATGTACACACACATTCAACAGTCGATTTTTGGGCTCTTAGCATATGTCTTTATCATTTGTCTGATGATGATGATAATCAATTATCAGAAGATGCAATTAATGTAATTAAAGGTTTACTTAATTATGATCCGATTTTACGATTTCAATTAGACACCATATGAATTATCTATTAATAAATAAATATATTTTGTTTTTGTCGGATATTTATTATTATTTAAATCTGAAAAAAAGAATCTTTTTTTTAAATACAATTGATTGGAAATATTTTGCTAGTATGCAGTACCATTTATTACAGTACCTGATGATGATTCAAAAGGTCTTGTTTTAGCTCGAAATAAAGCAATTAGTTTCGATGAAGAATCGATTGATAATATGTCGATGTAAAAATAATCACTTATGCAAACGGATTGTAACAGTTGATTATTGTCTCGTTATTTCCTTTTTTTTCCCATTTATAAAATATATTAGATATAAATGTGTGCATATCTTCGATAATTCTTTTAATATTCAACTACTGTCTCATGCGAAATTTATTGTTTTTCTTATCTTTTTCTTTTTTTTGTATTTTTTACTGTTCCATTTTACGCAGCTGAATGTTTAATATGCGTCTGTGTGTGTTAGTATTAGGTTAAACAATAAAAGAACAATTCAACGAACACAATAAAGAAAAGAAACGAATGATTTGCACTTTTTGTGGAGAAAGAGGCTCGTAGTCATAGCTTGCTTTTAAATAAATGGCACACAATGTAAAGAAGGAAGAAAAAGAAAAGAGAAAAAACAATCATATCATACTGTTTTCACGAACACAACTAATCCACGATCATGACTGAAAGTAAAAATCTAGCTATCTAATTTGTATTATATCATATGAAATTTGTTTATTTATTTAGATCGTCCAGGTTTGTCAATATTAGGTGAAGATGAAGAACGATCAGGTATGGATATAAATACTGGAATAATTACTCGTGATGATCAACAAGAAGAATTAGAACCATTAGATGAACTTGAAGATATTGCACCAAGTGTAAAAACTGATGCAAATAAATTTCGTATGTTATGTGATAATGTTCAAAATAGTTATTCTGAGATTGATAATTCAATGTTTGAATTACTTGAATTAAAAGATAATTTACTTCTACAGTTTTTACCACCAAATGTTTCAACACGAATAACAATTGTTATATCACGATTATATCGTGCTTATTCATTATCTCAAGTACCTATTAATGAACTTGTTCGTCTTGTTCAATTATATAGTCAACCATTTGATATGAAAAGTATAGCACTAAAAAAACTCTATGATAATAATGAAATGAAAAAACGAATGCTTAATATTGCTTTACAAAGATTAACATCAATGGAAAATAATACTAAGCATCATCAACATTTAAGATGTATTAATAATTGGGAGAAAATGTTAGTTCATTTTATAGATTTCAAGTTCAGTAAAAGAAAATTTTCTTTTTTTTTTCAGGTATATTCGTCTTGCATTACCACGATCAAATGTACGCAAATGGAAATTTCGATTAAAAACATTTCGAGAAGTAAATGAATAACAAACGAAATTATTTGCATACAAAAATAAAAGATTCATTCTACTTCATAGACAGCTCAGCTTGGTTATGAACATGTTATTGAATGGTTACATGCTACTGTACCTCGTCCATCATCGGGTGCAGAAGATGTATCTAAAGATGAACCTCTTGATGATGAAGATGAAATTGGTGATGTTGATCAAGTTGAAGCATTAGGTGATATTGTTAGTGTACCAGAAATCGATGAACAACAGCGAATAGAACAAGTCTGTTTATTTTCTTGTTTTCATTGACACTACTGGACAAAAGTATTCCTATGTCCTTAGATCTTAGTCTCTATGAGAACTAAACGTTTGAAAATTCTTGTACAAGTAGCCTACACACAATGCAGATCAACGATAATATCGACACAAAAATCACTCAAATTAGAACGGAGTTATAATAGGTGGTATCTACGGTTACTGAGAGTCTCATAACTCGAGAACAGATAAGCTTTTTCAGTCGTCCAATCCTTCATTTTGTAGCCCTGCGTTATAGCTATTTCTAATATTAAGTTGATCAAAGTTCATTAAGCTATTGACGAATTAGTCCACTTTTGCTGAAAACATGAATATCCAAAAAAAACCATAGAATGCTTTTGAACGGTCAATAACTAAGCGATCGTTTGATAGACCTATCTCAAATTTCGAAAATACGTGTCACAATGATTGTCCATAGTTTTCTAAAAGTTTCAAAAGTAAAAATTTTACCAGAAGAAAATGATGCATTGATCATCATTGCAAACTTGTCAAGACTCTGGAGTCTCCATTACACAAGCAAATGAGATCATATTTTAAGCGATGAAGGATCATAAGTTGGAATACAATTTCATGTTAAAAGATCGATACTCACTTATATATTACTTTAAAAACAACGAATAAATGTGTAAACCTATTTTTCGCTTTTTTTCTTTACTGTTAAAGGGAGCTACTGTCTTCATTTATCAAGGTTCAACTGAGAAAATCCTTTTGAATGGCTTTAGAGTTTTATTGGCCAACAGAAATCATCCTATTCTAGACATCTATAGAGTTCTCCGTGTGAACTTTATACAGAATTACGGTATATAAGGATACATTTTCTAAAATGTTATATAGAAAGATTATGTCTTTAAGACTTTCGAAGATAGTTATCCTCAAAATTTTAGATGGGTCTATCAAACACTCACTGAGTTATTGACTATTTAATGGCATTCTATGAGTTTTTCTGCATATTCAACTTTCCAGTAAAAGTAATCTAATTCGTCAATACTCTGATGATCTTCGATGAAATTTATATCAAAAATAACCATAATACAGGGCTAGAAAATAAGAGATTAGATGACTTAAAAAGCTTATCTGTCCGCGAGTTATGAGACTCTCAGTGATCGTAGATGCCACCTATTATAACTCTGTTCTAGGTTGAGTGATTTTTGTGTCAATGTTATACGCTGATCTACATTATATGTGAGCTACTTGCAGAAGAAATTTCAGAGGTTTAGCTCTCATAGGTACAAAGATCCGAAGAAATAGGATGCTTATGTGTAGTAGTGTACATTTATATAAATTTTATTATGTAGGGTTCAGATTTTGGTGATGAAATTGGAAGTGATAATGAAGGAAGTTTCTTGAGTAGTGCTGGAAAACACAGAGCCAAACAATTAGTTGGATCAGCTGAATTTAAAGAAGTTAAACAAACACAACAACAAATAGTTGTGCCAAAAGTTGATGTTGATATACAAGTACGACCTAGTGTAGATGATCAACAAACATCAACTGGAGATATTCTATCAACAAAGTAAATAAAATTAGTAATTGAAATAAAGATTTTGTATAAGAAATTATTTTCTTAGATCACTTATCATACGTATATATCGACCTGTCGGACTTTTGAAAACAAAATTTCAATGTATCATTCATGCTCACCAACAAAAATATACAACAACTGTATTCATATTTGATGTATTTATTATTTTTATTTTTATTTTTAGACAAACTTTGTCTATTCGTTAATGTTTTTAGAAACCAAATACTTCAAAAGATGATAATACAAAAAATAAAGGACGATTATCAACTAATCGAGTAACAAAACCTGTTGATCCAAGTAAAAATCTTTATTCTTCTATACAATAACAAAATAACATAAAAATTGGAAATTTTTTTTTCAGAAACTAAAAAACGTAGTGGAGATTCAACAACGCCTGATGATGTTGATATAAATACTATTGATAAACAACAATTTGATGAATTACTTATTCCAATGCCAAGTGTTCTTAAACGTCGATCATTATTTGAAACTGAAATTGATCCTGATGCTATACAAATAGATCTTCTTGGCGATGAAAAACTCTGTGGATCATTAATACTTTCACCTGAAGATTTACGAATGCTTGTAAGCAATAATCAAAAATTAACAGTTTTTTTTTTGTTTGAAAATAAAATAAAAATCTAACAACATTTTTAGGATCTACCCAATTTGCATAGTCCAACATCTGCACCTTTGATAACTATTGATGATAGTGTACCAAATGTATCAAAACCCGTATTAAAAAATGATCAACTTGATTTTGACCAACAATCAAACGAAGTTTATAAATCATGGATTTCTCGTACACCACAAACATTTACAGCTTATAATGACAAACGTGAACCTATTGCTAAATTACCTTTACATATGTTTTGGTATAATAAAGTTCAAATAACTCATGCAACAAAATGCACAAGTAAATCATAGAATCTTGTATTATATAAAAAAAAACAAAGCAAAAATTCAATATTTCTGTCTAGTGACTGCTCCTATGGAAGTTCGTGTACCAACACCTAAAACAGTGTATGTTCCTCAAATGTTAACTCCAGTTGAAACACATGAAAAAGCTGTATCACCCGTTGTAACAACACCAACATCAGTTATTGAGCAAAGTACAGAACCAGCTCCTAGTCGTTTAACAATGGTTGATGATCATGTAGAAAGTATTAAAGCAACTTATGAAGATAAAATAAATAAACTTCATGACAGTTATCAGTATGTTATTCGTGATTTTCTTTTTGATTTTGACAATATATTTACATATATATGTATAGAGCAGAAATTCGTCGATTAACTAAACTTCTTAATGAAATATCATCTCGGCGTTCAAGTCAAATGGCTGACTTATCAGAATTGGATGAAAATATTCGTGAAATTGTTGAAGAAGAACCATCCAATATAAATACACGGTAGAATATTTCAGAAAAAAAAACATTAATTTCGTATATCGCATATATTTTTATTATTCTAGACGACAAGTCAGACAACAACCAAAACGTGAAATGGCTATCGAAAATCAACCAGTACCAACTTATGGTAAAGGTCTTCCAAAAAAAGTGAGTTTTGTTTTTTGAAAAGAAAAAAACTTAACTAATAGAAAAAGTTGAGATTTATTTAAAGTCAATTCGAATTAATGATTTTACATAAAGTTTACTTTTGTTTTTTTTTTTGAATATAAAGAAATTTCTTGAAGTTTATGATTAAATTTTATATTTAGTTTCTCGATCGTTATCATATGTTTTTGGAACGTAGTATGGCACATCGTAATCAATTAATATCTAAAGTTGAACAAGAAACAGCACGTACAACAGAACGTCAAATGGAAATTCAACATCGATTACATAGGCCAGAACAAAATGAAGAACGTTATGATGGTAATATTCTTCTATAGACTATATCCATATATATATATATATAATAATGTAAATAGATTTATGTTTACCTGCGGTTTTTATGCCTTTTCGTTCGGGAAATGTTTTTAACCCAAGAGCTTATCGATTCTTTCATCATGTTGGTATGTATTATATAGTTTTTCATTTATCATTATTATTATTTTGAAAGAAACAATAAAAATAACAAAAACAAATCTATAGGTTCTTCTGATCCTCGTCTAACTCAAACACCATCAATATTTAAACTTCCACCACTTCCATCAGGCTCTGTAAATATTCTTTTGTTTTGGTTTTTAATCGTACAATTCATTTGATTTATTTTTTTCTTTTATATTATAGGTATCTGTATTAAACCTTTTTGAATTAAGTCGATGCTATGAAGCTGCTAATGGAAAAGATCCTACTGTTGATAAAACAACAAGTCAGTCATCTCAACCAGCTCAACCACCAGCACCTCCAGCAACACAAACATCGAATTGAAACAATTAAAATTTTTTTTTTTTATTCTGGACGTTTGTTTTTTTATTTTGTATTTTTAATAAAACTTTAACTTTCATCAAAACGAAATTTGTTCATACTTGGTAAACTACGGTCTGTTGCTGTTGATTATGATAATGGTATATAACAAATATTTGTTGATATATCATGTGTTTCTATTGGAAAACCATTTTGTTTATTTGATAAACTATATTTATCATTATCATCATTAATGTCAAATGACACAGTTTGTTTTTTCTTACTTGGATGTATCTAAAAATAATCAAAAAGATAATATTGATTCTAAATATATTTTTTTCTTATTAATTTAACTTACAGGAGATGATGAAGTATGTTGAATAGATGATTGAAACTCATCTTCTTCGGATGTTGCTATCATATATGTTATAACTTTCTCTTTAGATGAACTATTCGGATGTATTATAGTATCATTTAAATTATTTTGTTGACGAATATTGTTCGGAAATGGTAATTGTTTATTGTATTCAGATGTTTTTTCATCTCCTTTACTTATATAATAAACTTCTGGTTTTTGTTCATTTAAAGATTGATATGGTATTGATGATTTTCGTTTTTCACTAATCATTACTAATGATGAACGATAATTTTTATTTTCAGTATTATTTTCTCCAACTTTCAAATGATATAACTCAGGTTGAATAGGCGATAAATGAAAATTTCCATCGATTTTTAGTGAAGATAATTTTCGTTGATCATATGATGTTGTTTGTTTATCATCATTTAATCTTAAACAATACATTTGTGGTATTTGTTCATTGGAATTTCGTTCCGGTATCAGTAAATTTCGACTACTGTTAATACTTGCTGATGATGCACAATGATCATAATTATTATTTAAATTTTCTGATATTTGAAGAGTATCTATTTCAGCCATATTGTAATCGAAAGTTTATTATAAAATTGTTTTTGTTGAAATCGACATGTTTTTAAAGCTTCATCTTTTAGCAAAATTCATGTACAACAAACTCGAGAGAAAAAAAAAAACATCAACATATTTTGTCAATAGAAACGACATGATGGCAGAAATTTTACTTAGTCGTTGATAGAAAAAAAAAGAATGAATAAATATTTTAACATAAAAGAAAAAACAATTCATATAATGATGTAAAAAAAATTATTAATTATTTAATATTGTAATACCTCGTTTTTATGCCATCTAACAAAAAAGTCACGATTTAAAAATAGAATTTCTATACTCATAATATTGAATTATCATTATCAAATATTTCAAAAGTATACAGATTATGATGAAAAATATATTAAATGAATAAAATACTTTTTTTTTTCAATAAATAACTCGTCCTAAAAAAGAATTCTTTAATCAGCTATTCGATTAATATGCCATTCATTAATTAAATCATTCATTGACGTATTAGATTTTATTGAAATTCTTTTTAAAACTTTATGATAAACATATCAATGGTTCTATTAATTTTTATAAAATGATTGATTCAATGTATTATAATTTTCAAAAATCCATTTCTTATTGAAAACCTTGAATGTTGATAAGAAAAATCAAGGTTAACAAACAATTAAACTAATTAAAAAATCCAATGACAAAAAAATTGAAATCGAATTAATAAAAATGCTTTTAGTATTTTAATAATCTATCAGATGATCTTAATTTAAATTAAGTAATTATTCTTTATTCGAAATTCAAGAGATCTACTTATAATTTAACTTAAAACTTATTAGAATGCTTGAATTTCAATAATATGACAAAAAGATTTTATTAATATCATTGTTAACTTGAAATCTATAACGAATAATAACATCTCGTTCGTCTAGCAGTCAGACGAAGAAATAAGTTTAATAGAAAAAAAGCAAGTATAATCTGCCTTTGTCTCATAGAACTAATTGAGTTAAAGAGAACTTACAAAAGAAAAAGTATAGCTCGACTTCGAAACTATTTTCTCAGCTAAAAGGTTTATAATCATGATTTTAAAGTTTTTTTTTTTTTTTATTGAATTTAATGCATTAGTGCTTAAATAAAATTTTCGACATAATTCATCATCATCTTATATATTACACGATTAGAAGTCTAATATATAAAAATTTTCTTGAATAAATATAATTGTCGGAAAGCTAGGAGTTTTGTTTTTTAGGACAAAAGACTGAATAAGTAGAATTTTAAGACGACTTGTATTCAATAATTGTCATGTTTATATTAGAGAAACTACAACAAAAGAACCGATAAAATTACTTGAAAAAAAAAACAAGGCCAAATTTGAGAACGGAGGAAGTCTTTATTCCTACAAAACTCTCTAATCAATAATGATGATCTCAAGCTTCTTCATCTTTAATTTATTGGAAACAATTTCTATTTTTAGTTCATTTTCTAATTTGATGTTCCTTTTTTATCTTGTCAGACATTGATATAATCAACTATTCACGCACTAAATAGACATCCTCGATTATTGAAACATTGCTTTGCATGTCAAGTTTAGATTCAATAATGTGACAAAAAAAAAAATCTCATTCTGCAAACTAGATGATGAAGGTCAATCTGCCCTATTTCACATTTGTTAATTGTTGTTTATATGAGGAAATAGATGAATCTATAATAAAATGTGTAATGATGTCTTAATATTTATTTATTTTTGTTTGACTTTAACAACGCATATAAAAATACTAAATATCTCAAGAACTTATTTCTTATGACTTATGTTGTTTTACTAGCGCAAAATGTGATATATAATATCATCTTGAAGCATGACTTTAATGATCTGTCGAGGTATAATGGAGTAGTTTCTTTCTTTTTTTTTGGTAATACTAAAGTATTGTGCTAAACAAAAGATATTTTCGTTAATTAAAAATAATTAATATATATTTGTAAGCCCTCTATTAGTAAATCATGCAAACTGTTATGGTATTTTTTTTTCTTTTACTGAATAGAAAAATAACAAAAAGTATTTTGAAATAATTATCCGAGATTTTTATCATAATCCTATTTGTAACAAAAACATGTCATATAGTAAATTGCAAGATACTACAGGAAAAAAATACTATAATTTTTTTTTTTCTTTCGTGTTTTTTTTTAAATGAATTTAAATTATAATTATAATATAATGTATATAATAAAAAAAAAAAAACTCATTAATGAAAAATAGATAATTAAATTACCAATATAAATAGAACTAGAGAAAAATAAAATAGATAATCATTATTAATCGAAAAATACAATATAATTGATGTGTCAAAATTTTATAATACAAATTCAAATATATTAATAACTTCTGACAGTTCTATTATTTTGACACTTTGTTTTTTTCTGCAATGAAATTTTATTATAACTAATTTTATTCTTAATAATCTCAATGAATATATACATTATTCTAGGACAATGATCTTTAATTGTGTATTTCTAACAATATTTCTTAGATGTGAAGAAAACAAGTTCATCATTGACATTATCAATGCAAGAGATGAATATACAACATATTCAGTTAAGATTTCTATATGCTTTTATTCTTGCATTCGTCTTTATATATTTTATAATTATCGAAACAAAAAAGAAGAAACACATAACTTGATTCTAACTAGAGAATTTCTTATTTTATCTTAACCCTCGTTCTTTTTCTTTTATTCGCGCGAATAACTTGTATTTAGTTTGTTACTCTGACATACGGCATCTAAATCTGCATAGTATTGACGTTGCCTACATATGGCGACTTCTTATTCACTTTAGCGCTTGCTTTCTTTAGAGAAAAAGAGAAAGCATCCAACGTTGCCATGTTCAATCTTCATTCTTCTAGTTTTTGTGACGCCAATCTAAAGAAAGAACAGAACAGAACAGAACAGAACAGAAGGAGAAGAACAAGAACAAGAAAGAAAGACAGGCGGAATGCGAGAAATAGTTCTCTCTTCGTTCACTCATTCAGCAACCGCGCAAATCATATAAGGCAAGACTTCGAGACTTCTTTTCTTTCGCATGTGTATGTGTATGTCTGTTGTCGTTGAAAAAACATCAACGAGAAATAAACTATAATGTTGATAGTAGCAGTAGTGATGATGATGATGATGATGATAATCGTAGAAATCGATCAAAACCAGATGAATGTTGGTTATATATAAATGCTCTGAAAAACATCATTTTCCTTTCGCTCTCGATAACGACTAACGACGTTCATATAATCGATTCTAGAGATTTTCTTCTCAATATGTTCTCTTATTTTTTTTTTTCAGTTATGTAGCAGTAGCAGTCGAAGCAGTAAGACAAAAAAAGGAAAAAAAAAAGAAAAAAAAATAGTTTCCGCTTTAGACTTGCGTTTGATGTCTATGTGTATTCATGCAGCCAAACACTACCATCACAATCAGATAGAATAGAAACTAGAAGACATGAACATTCATTTATATGCATATAATAAATAAAAAAACAAAAGAAATGTAAGTACATAATCTTTAATGAATTGATTGTGTGTGTTTTTTGTCTTTCTAAACTAGCCAATTTATCAAAAAAAAAAGAAATATATATATATATAAAGAAGGTTTTTTTTTGTTTTTATCAATGTAAATGCGTGTTCATCATGCTAATGATGGCATGAGAGGTCGTGCATAATATATGGGTTACTGGAAAAAGCACGGCTCACTTAAGACGAATATCCGGTTGGGTTACTTCGTCTCAAGGGTTTGAAGAAAGAAAACTTTAAAAAATGAACACTCCTTTTTCACTCCCAAAAAAAAAACCGACATATATTCCTTTCTTGTCTTTACTCTTAATTTATTCTATCTTATATGAGAGTATAGTAAAATATTATTTGTATTTAATCACAATATTCTTTGTAAATAAATATAAATCGATGTTAAATCGGCTTTTGTTCGTTATTTATCACGATAGTATTGATCGACATCGAGTGCATACCAATAGAAGAAAACAAATATATGTTGTTGTTGTTTTTTTTTTTTATATTATAACTATTCAATGTTGAATATCAATATTAAATGAGCATGATTAGTTTGTTGAGTTTTTTGCTCAAAATAACTGGTGTTAGTTATTTCCTCCGTATAGTTTTACATGAATAATTGGAACAATTAAAAAAGAAACAGAAAAAAAAAAACTTAAGTGTAAACATTAATTCCCAAGAGAACATTCATATATTGCAAAAACGACAAAGAGAAAAAAAAAGATAAATATATATTTTTCTTTTTAGATAAATATAATGAGGATATTTAACTAAATGGCTCATTTTACACGTTTTGTTTCATTTGAAGATAAATTCAATACAAAGTAAAGAGCAAAAAAAAAAGATAGAGATTACTTTTTTTTTTTTTTTTTTTTTTTTTTATTTAAATAATTTTATTTTTTAGTCTATTTACATTTATTCTTCCAAGTACATTTTTATTAGGTACAGAAGAAAAATTAATAACACGAGAATTTATTTGTCGACATATACCATTTGCATTAACATTTGTTAAAAATGGTGATCAATTAAATGCATTTCTATTACATCGTAGTCGTGATACAGAAAGAATTGAAATGACACTTGATTTAAGTGTTACATTATTATGTCGGGAACATTTTACACGTAATGAAACATTTATTGAAAAAAATTGTAAATTTACAAATAAAGTTACTTTACATGGAAGAAAATCATTTACATCAGTTAATCGTTTATGTTCAGTTGATTATATGGATGAACGTGGAAATATTCAATGTGAACTTGAAATAAAAAATCTTTCTATATCATATATAACAGATGTACAATTAACGCCACAATTAATTAATCCTCAATATGCACATGTTATACATCCGACAAATAATCGACAACCAATTGATGCTAAAATTGAAACACCATCATTTTTCTATTCAAATTATGAATGGTGTGTTGTTATACAACCAAAACTTGATAGTGTAGGACAACTTGGACATTTTCGAATGTTTATACAACGTTTAACACCATGTGATCATTCTGTTAAATTAACATATCGTGTTAAATTAATAGCTGGATCTTATACATGGGATCCATATCAAGAACGTAAAATAACTCATCCACATGATAGTAATACATATGAAATAAATTATACTGATGTACATGGTTTATGTCGACCATATCGTATTGATCGTGTACGAGAATTACTTCAAGCAGATGGAAAATTTACACTTACTGTTGAACTTAAAGATGCTGTTAGTAAGTATTTTAAGAAGATACTTATATAAAGATTAATTATAATTATTGTTTTAAGAAAAACAAAAAATAAATTTTCTCAAATGAAAATATAATTAAACAATAGAAAATTTTCATTATTATGAATATGTTAAAATATTCTGTTCGAATTTTTTTGACAGATTATTTATCATGTTGAGATAGAAAGATTTGTTTTTTTGTTTTTTGAGACGAACTCTTTCTATCATGTCAATCGATGACTAATAATAGAATGAATGACTATTTATAGATATTCATCAAAGTTGTTTGTTAATTATACTTAACATTCATATTAATAACCAAAAATGACAAAATTTTATCTTCTTGTTTTTTGGGTCCGTTATAAACATTCGAAAAACAAAAAGAAAAAAAAAATATATATATAATAATATTTACAAATGAAGTACTATCTAAATTAAATTCTATTTATTATAAAAGAAGCCGATAGACTATATTACTATTAAGATGAAAAGCTATTAGCGCACTCTATGTTGTGAAATTAGTATGTGAAACACGAAATAATTATTGTTATTAATATTAATAGAAGGACATGTTTTAAAAATTAGTTAAAAGCAATATTTCATTAGATTTATGAGACAAAAATTAAATTTACATTAACCCCAAAAAAAATGTTTCTATCAGTGTATAAACTTATGGATTTATACGGTTAGTATAATTTGTAAAAAAAAAAAAAAACTATAATAAATTTTACATTAGATCAATCAGAGTTTGTTATCTAAAGAGTTCATTCTATATTTTAATATAGATTTTAGGTCGTATTTCATAAAAAAAAAACGTATTATGTCTTGATTATTTTTTTAACTAATGAGAGACAAACAAATTTTATAAATGACAAAATATATTGCATATTACCTTGAGAATAAAATATAAAATCAATCAAAAATATTGCTACTCTAGAAAGACATTTTAATGATTAGTTTACTGATAAGTTTTCAAATTATTTTAAAATCGATGGTTTTTTTTTGTAAATATCTTATTTGTATTTTCTAGCTGTCTTCCCAATAATTGTTGATCCATTTGCACCGAATCCTATTCCTGTATCATTTCTTGATAAAGATCAACAAGCATGGACTGTTGAAGCTTATATTGAAGAACAATGTTTTATTATACGTTTATATTATTCTGATATATTTAAAATTCCTACTGATTATGTTCGTTCAATATGTTTTAATATAACTGTACGTAATTATCGTGATACAAAAATAACTACAAGTGTTTTTCCAAAACCTGTAACAAAATATTATTCACAAAAAGATCATGATGAAGGTTTAGAAATAAGTACAACATTAGATGTTGATGAAGTAAGTATTGACAAAAATAAAAGAATATTTTATTTGATCTTTTGTTGTTTTTTTTGTTTTTTGCTTTTTAGTTAACTCAACGTGGTTATTTAAATGAACAACAAAGTGTTACAATTGAAATAGAAATATTTTTTTCTCATTTAATGTATTCACCTGAATATACACCATTAGATGATATTGTTCGTAAACAAAAACAACAAATTATGTATGTTCTATTTTGTATATAAGAACTATTTCAAACAAAACAAGACATATATACCTTTGATTCTATATAAGAACTATATAAGATTTTTTCAACATAGACGTCAGAAAAAATCTTGGCTTTTGCGGCTGACGATTAAATTAAAAGATACTTAGTGAATATCTCTCTAGTCATAAGAGAAAGAAATCGGAAAACTTCGAAACAGAATCTAGAAATTCTATTAAGTCTTCAAACAAAAATTTTTTGTCGTACTATTATCTAAAGATTCTTAAGAAGAATTTGTACCGTTTGAAATTAGTTTTGAATTTTTCATAAGGGCATTTTTTTCGTTTGTATTTGGCCATGTTGTTAACAAAAAGTAAATCAGGTTAGGTATGCTGAGGAAAAAAAACTTCGGGTAGAGATTTTGTAGTTTGAGAAGTTGCCTACAGAATGCTGTATGTAGTTTTTCTTGAACTAAAATGCATGAAGTGAAAGTTGACATGTCTCTAATCCTCTAAACAAAAATCTCTAGTGCTGACTTTTCCAGAATATCTAGAATAACTTACCATATAAAAATTAGCTCTATGAAAATTTCTTATCTTGTATTTTAATGAATTGATTTTGTCTATAGATACATTTTTATGAAATAAAAAAAAAAGAAAAATTTTTTTTCAAATTTTTAGGCGTGAATTACAAACAGCACAAAATGAAAATTTTCAATTAGAAAAAAAATTACATGAAATTCAAATGTCTATACAAAATCCGACTATGTCTAGTCGTTTATCTGATATTCCTAATGGACCACAAAGTGGTATAAGTGCACCAACAACACCAAATGTTGTTCGAAAATATTATGAAATGAAATATGGTGATAAAAGTTCAACAAGTAATCCACCACTATCAATGTCAAGTAATGCTACAAGTTTTGATGGTATACAATCAAATATAAATTCTTTACCTATTCGTAATGGTGTTTTATCTGGTAAAGGACCACCATCATCAGCGTCATCTATTCCACAACCAAATGTAACAATGGGTGCACGTAATACACCATTTAAATTTACAACTAAATTACCTGATTCAATACAAAATACAATAGCTAATACAAGTCAATCATTACAATCAAAATTACCAACTAGTTTACAAAAATTACCAGCAAGTTTTACACAAGGACCAACTATAAATATGCTTGCTAATAAATTTCAAAATGCATTTTTATAGATATTTTTTTTTCTTTTCGTGTATTTCATTTTTATTTCATGTTATTTGTGTATGTGTGATACCAAACAAAATTTCAAAATTCTCCTATTTCTGTGATCCCTTGTATTTCTCTAATCAAATTTGAATGAGAAAGAAAAAAAAAAATTACGATAAGAAAATAAGATTACAATGGAATATGAAAAAGAAAAAAAAAAAAAAAAGAATTCATTCTTACAGAAATTATTAACATAATATTAATGATATTTTACATATAATGTAAATTAGATTTGTTTTGATGAATGATGACACTCTTTACTCATGACTTGTTTAAGAAAATGATTGGACATATTATTTGTTATATTTATTTTTAGCAGCTTTATTTTTTTACATTCGATTTTAAATAACAAAATTATGTAGATTCATTGAACTTCAAGAATCTATCAATCAAACATTTTTTTAGACAATTCAAGGAACTCTTCATAATCGTGTCAAATTGATGTACAATGACTAAATTACATTATAAGCGATGCTTTATCCAATGTGATAGCGGCGCCGTTCCTGCGAAGGTCGAGTTGATCCGTCCGAAGTTTTAAATCATCTTTTCGGAAGAGAAAATCTGGACAAAATATTGATAATAAGATATCTAGAAAAAATTTCATAAGAAAAGTTTTTGAAATAAAGTCATAGAAGGCTTATTATTATTTAATTATCAAATTCAGACTCGAATACCATCGAATCTAGGCATCAGAATTAAAGAGGAGTGCGTACAATCTCAAGAACTTGACAACAGTGACGGCTAGTGAACTGCGATTTTCAGTAATCGAAAGAGAAGAACTCTGAACTTATTTTAGTTTGACACTATATAAGACAAAAATATTTTAAAACTCATCATCTTTGCAAAAAAAAAAGTCATGTAAATGGCGTTCTGTTTCAAAGAAATTTTGATTTGCTCGTCATTGATATATGAGACGATAATCACTCACATCGTGCCTTGAACTAGATATTAGAAGCACATGTCAAAATCGAAATGAAATACTGTTTTCATGGATCTTTTCGAATTTTTTGTAAACATGTCTCATATAGTATCAGGCAAAAAGATGATTGAAGTTCTTCTCTTTTGATTATTGAAAATTTCAGATCACTAACAATTGTCAAGTGATGTAGTTTACAACAACTCCTCTTTAAATCTGGCATGGATATTAGTTTGCTATGTCTTTGTGACCTTTAAATCATCTAATTCTTGTGATAGTATTTTATCAATATTTACTTCATTATATTAATATATAGACAAATCGGAGAGTTTACTGTTGTTCTTTGATTGCATCAATCTTCATTAGAAAAAAAAAGACAGAACGAAGTTATAAGCTTAGTAATTATCAGATTAGACAACTATTTCTAGTGACATATCAATATAAATGTTATAGCATAAAGTCTGCCGACTTGAAAGGTTACACTAACGTACGAAATATATGTCAATAAGAAAACACTATATAATTGCATATAGAAATCTAAAAACGAAACTAACTATTTGTTTATTTATATTGTTGATACATTTATTCTTAAAATGCATTCATTCATAATAAAAACAAAAAAATAATAAAACATAACTTTTATTCGTTACTTATCCATTTTAATCTTCTGTAGATGTCAAATAGTAAAACACATTATTTCTCAAGGTTATCTTATGTCATTTTCTTTTATGAAAAAGTATACTTCTCATTTACGTATACATAATTTATCACATGTAATAATCTTTAAAAAAAACATTTTTCATTAAATCAACAATCATGAGGTTTTTTTCGTTTACTAAAATAATACAACATAAAAATATATTGGAGAATTACTTTCATGTTGCGATATGTGTCACAAGAGCAATACACATGATGTCATACCTAGAAGAAAATGCTAGAAAAATTATCTATGATGTAATTTCTTTTTTAAATGTGATGTAATATAATCAAAAAAATTTCATAATTTCTCTTTTTTTTTTTGTTTTTTTAGAATCATTAATTTAAAAACAATAATTTCAGATTTTCTGGAAAGAAATTAATGATTCGATACAATGATTATATTTATTGAATGTCCATTAGAAAATACGATAAATTTATTCGTATATTCTTATTTAAAAAAATACAAAAAAATCAAGTTTTCACAATGGCAGAAAACAATATATACTGTACAAAATAGAATACAAAAAATTGCCTAAACAACAATTATGGAAGAAAGTATTAAAAAAAAACAAACAAACATATATTCGCCTAAATTAATTGGTTAGGACATTGACATTTGTATTATCCTATTTATACATTTGTTGATTTTATCCATCATACCTGATTGAGCACTGTATTATGTATTGTGGACGGTTCAGTTGTATTAGTATTTTTCTTATCAGTATTTGTTATAGGCTTTGTTCTTTTTACTTTTGTTTTAGCTGGAGTTGTAGTACTAATGGCTGCTGATGCTTCTTCGTCATCTGCTTCATGTTCTACGATTGATTGACGTCGATCATGTTTTTCTGTTTCGTGATCAATTGATTTTCTATGTGTACGAGATTCAACTATACTATCACTATCATAATCATCATTATTTGATGTTAATGTTAAAGGTTTTGTTAATTTATTTTCAATACCATAAGCTTTTGCCCAAAAAAGAAGATCATCAAATGAATTTTGTTGTGTTGTAATTTTTGTTGTTAAACTTTCAAAAATTTGATTTAATTCATTTGAATATTTCGGTGTATACATAGCTTGAATAAAATCTAATAATGTTTCACGTATATGATCTAAACGTTCTTCTTCAACAGTTTGACATTGATTAAAAATTTCAATTGCTTTTTTACGATAAGTTTTTTGTGCAACTTTATACGTAGCTTTTGTATCAACAAGTTTTCCTTGAATATCTTCTAATGTAGCTCGTTTTTTATTTTGCACCTCATTTGCACGTGCTAATTGTTTTTCTGTTGTTGATGGATCTAATTGAAGAATTTCACATGCACTTTCAGCTGTATGAAGAGCTTCACGAGCTTTTTTTTCTAATGTACGTAATGTTTCAAGTTGATCGGCAACTTCACTTAAAGATGCATGTGCAGTTTTAAATAATTTTTTAAATTCACTTGTTCGACGATGTTTACGACCAGGACGAAAACGTTCATTTATATATGTTTCATTAACATAATTACGATATTTATCAATAACTCTTTGTATTTCATTACAATTCGATTCTTTTAAATGAGCTAATTGTTTAGGTATACGAACAACGTCAAGTTGAGCACGTTTTGTTGTATGATATGATACAAGTGATGATTGATGTTTTATTCGTGTAGTCCATTTTTCGGCATAAGCAATGAAATTACGAGCGTGTTCACGTTCATTATCACAATATTCTTGCATCCACTCGATGAAATCCGTTGAGATTTGATAACCTAGAAGAAAAAGAACAAAAAAGTAAAGATTATATGACAGTGAAGAGAATAAAAAAAAAAATTACGATAAGAAATCAATCATATAATAAAAGAAAAAAATTCATACCACCATCAAAACGTTCGAGAGCTGCTCGATAATTTTCATCTTCAAAAAAATTCTTTCCAACATATTGATTTAATGGATAATAATCATTATTAGTTGCACCGGGTCGATTAGCAGCTAGTGTTTCTCGAAATCCAATGCAGGCACCCATATTCATTGGAGTTGTGCCACGCATGATAACTGTTTTGAAAAATGAAGACCAATTTTTATGTCAATTTAATAATCTGGAATGAAGTCGATTTGATGGACAAAAATAAATAAGGTCTCAATGAAAAGAGCAATGTTAACAGAATGAATAATACAAAAAGTTCCGGTACGCATAGATATGTTTTTTCTTCCATCTAGCGAGTGGGAAGAAATCAAGTAAAGAGCAGAAGAAACGAAAGGCTAAAACAGCAAAAAATGGCAATGACTCACAAAAGTGTTACTGTTGTCTGAGGGATTAGACCATGGATGAGAACAGGAAGAAACACAAAAAGAACGAAGAAACCTAGAAATATTCTATCTATTGAGAGTAAATAGAAGAACTTATCGAACACTTTCCTTTTCTCACTATCTACATTGCTATCATTTTATATTTCTGAAATGATATTTCTTCTATAATATATGTAATTGCGCAATAAAGTACTTACCTTTTAAGTATATTAAATTAAAGGAATTAATCTAAAAACAAATAAGAGATTCTTTATTGTAAACGAAAAAAGCGTAGATTTCTGATGGAAATTTTCATTATGACAGTCAGTTGTTAATATATATGTATATATATATTTGTAGGAAGGTGATAAAAAATAGGCTAACTGATGAATCATCACTTCTATTAAGACAAATATCGCGCTATTTGATAAAGGAATATCTATAATTATGTCGCCTACACCTCTATATATACGTGCAAAAAATGATTCATATTTTTGGTCTATTCCAAAAAAAAAAACCTCATTTTATGACTTTTAAAGAGCTATCGATTTATCTGATTAACTCTCTTTAATGACTTACCAGATTATTACCCTTACAAAAAAAAAGGATACAAATGAAGTAAAGTACAAAAAAAAACTTTACTGTCTTTTTTTCTCGTGTTTGTATAGGAAAAAAAATCAATTGACATACAATAGACATGTGCATACTTGTCAAAACTTCTTGATTTGATTTTACATGTGTATTCACGACGAACGATTTTTGGCTTGATGGTACCTTGAAATTCAATTTATTTCAGTAGTTTGTTTGTTCTATTCGTTGATAAAAAAAAATACCATATTGCAAAAAATAAAAAAGGATTCTTTTTTTTTTTTTTCTCTTATATATTTTAATAAGATGAAAGTTTGTCGATATTTTTTTTGCTCGATACTCACTTGAAGAATTTTCGTTTTAATAAAAAAAACAAGAAAGCCTATTCAATAGAATTGACTCAGGAATTTGTTGTCGTTATTTATGAGGAAAAGAAAAAAGAAAAAAAGTCACGTAAATTTCAATGTCAATTATCTCACTAGAAAGATGTTTATGAGTAAAAATCGAATTTATATGAAAGATTATGTATATGTATGTTGACTGTATAAATATTTGTCTCACTTACAACTCTCTCTCTCTCCCTTAAAAAATAGGTGTGAAACGGAACATTTTTTTTCAACTATAATACCTACTTAATGGAGACAACATTTTTTTTTTTTTTGAGTTTTATTATAGCCTTGAGATAAAACTGCTGTCGCTGCTCGTAACAACTCTGTTTTTGTTGTAAAATGATCACATGATGGTCGACAGATGGAAAAGACGTTGTCTTTTTTTTTTGCTTTTATGGCTTCTACTTAATTCAACAGAAGTAATGATCGATATCATCATCATCATCCTTTGTTGGTTGCATATCTCAATTGTGCACATTCATTTTCAAAGCATGTCTTAAACAAGAAAAAAAAAAAGAAAAACGTCTATTATCGTCTTTCACAGTATAGACAATGAAATACTGATGCAATCGATTGTTTCTATTGTTTAAATGACAGTAATGAATAATCATCATCATGCTGATGAAGCACATAGTTTGACAAAAGCTATACATCATTAATTATAAGTACATAAATAAACAAATCTGTCATTTGATTAATCTCTTAAATCATTGTACGTTAGAAATATATTTCGATCTAAGAAGGATCATGAATAATTTTATTGAGTATATAATAATAAAAACAAGCAGAGTTACAAATTTGTTTAATCACTTAATAAATAATATTTTTTGTGTTGACAATAATCAGACGAAAAATCGATCTGACTAAAGAACATTTGCAGCTTCCAACGATCTATTACTTCTATCGAATGTATACTCAATATGTAGATGAAGTTAAACAGAAAGATAAGATAGATTCCGTTGGGAACAAAAACTACGAATCAATTCCGTGTGAAATTAATATCGGATTCAGGACATTTTTGCAAATGAAATCTCCTTTATTTGTTCCGAGACATTTGTTAAAAGTTTTCTTTGAATGATTATTGATTTGAAAAATCATCATTTTGATGGCAGTAGTCAATGTAATGATTATAAATTGGTTGATTCATCAAATGTATCAATTAAAATAATCATGATATCTTTTAATGAGAGATAGTAAAAAGAATTTTTATGAAAATAGAATTCGACATTGAACTATCGTTGTTAGGCTCATTCGTTGCGTCAAATTTTGATTAGTGAAAATTTGTCGTTTGCAATCCTTCGAACTCAAATCATTTATGGTTTACGAGTCCGAAACTTACTGCCAGCAACCATTGTTTTGTATTCGGTATATTTTTTTTTTTAGTCATCCATTTTTAACCAAAGTTAATCGATCAAAACAATGTCTAATTGTTCTATCAATTTTTATAACTGACGAGGGAACCTTTTCAACTGTCCAATCGCTTTTGAGTTCGAACTCAGTTTGAAAGATAGACCCCAGTGAGGTATGAAAAGGCCCAAAAGGATAAGTGCCCATAGGCCTTCCGTCCAGAGTTATAGGCATTTTACTGGATTTTTAGCCTATGGCACAGTATATACCAAAAAATCGAATGACAATATTTCGAGCTGAGATTGTGTCCAAAGATAGGTCTATGTACCAATAGAATGCCCTGAAAATTTCAGCTCAAAAGAATGTTCCAATCTCGAGATATTGAACACCCAAAAGCCAAAAAATTCTAGCATCATTCGCGGGATATGCGTGATTTTTGGGAGTTTAATATCCCGAGATTGAAACATTCTTTTGAGCTGAAATTTTCAGGGCATTCTATTGGTACATAGACCTATCGTTGGACGAAATCTCAGCTCGAAATATTGTCATTCGATTTTTTGGTATATACTGTGCCATAGGCTAAAAATCCAGTAAAATGCCTATAACTCTGGACAGAAGGCCTATGGGCACTTATCCTTTTGGGCCTTTTCATACCTCACTGGGGTCTATCTTTCACACTGAGTTCGAACTCAAAAGCGATTGGACAGTTGAAAAGGTTCCCTCGTGAGACAATGATTTTTCAAATCAAAAGTCATTTGCAAAAATTCTTTCCAATAAGTTTCTTGGAAATAAATTCATTGTCTGTATGTGCAAATATGTTTATTGGCTTATATATTTGCTGTTAAAAAACTTAATGAACTCTATCATTTGAGATTTTGTTTGCAAAATCGAGTGTTCTTTATTTATCTTAAATGATACTTTCGAATCATATTTTATATGATAAAATTTTCGTCTTCAAATCAATCATATTGGATTTTTACGTTAATCAAAATATAATATATAACACAGAACAATTAGTTAAGGGAATTCCTTTCTCGACGTAAAATTTTCAGTTTTTTTTTTGTTTTTCGTTTTTTATTTTTAGTATATAGATCTAAATGTCCTCAAACATGCACTCAGATTTGTTCCTAGGTGCCACAGAAAAAATTTCAGCTCTAAATAACGTAGTATGAATGTTTGCAGGAGAGGGGGCGGGAAACTTCAGGTCATTTTTGACCCTTGATCTCCCGAGATCTCCTGAAAGGAAGCATTTAGGAATTTAGAGTCTATGACAACTTTTATTCTACTCATCGAGATCTATCTACCCTGAAAGTTTCAGAAATTTTCGCCGAGCTGTCCTTGAGAAACCTCGGAAAGGGCGGTTCGCTTAACCTAATGTAAAAGTAAACCTTAACTTATCACATATATAAATAATCAATAAATAATCTTTCAGCTCTTAACCGATGATAAATAGATTTCTATCATTAACAATACAAGTCACATTTTCACATATGTATGATGCCAACCAGTAAATCAATATTCTTCCTAAACAGTCACAAAGAATTTATGATAGCATATTTACATTATGCTTATTAGATCGAATATATATATATATATATATAAAACTATTCATTCAAATTTTCAATAATTCCTATATAACATTCATTTACTATCAAAGATGGGATCGGTTCGTATTGTTTTTTTGGAACCAAATCGATCTCATCTCTGTTTACTATAAATTTGAAAGAATGAAAAATATTTTCGGCAACTACCAGGTATTAACTTCTCGCTAGGGCCCATTGAACTAGTCCAGAACTCGGCTGGGTCTGGATCTGGAAATTCTGAACCCGATGAGTTCTGGTCCTCACATGAGTAGATATACCAAAAACATCGAAGCAATGTAAATTGCTAACAACACGATTCATATAATATATAATAATGCGTGATGATATTAACAAAGGACAAACATTTTTCTGAGTCTGGTTACCTGGAATGGAGTCCAGACTGAGGCTCAAAAAAATATTCGCACTGTATTGAGCTCGATCCCGCTAAGAAAAACATAGTAATGGACATCTGTTAGAAACGAACTCAATATTTTATTGATTTGGATCTTCATATATTGTTTCATCGACGAACAACAAGCATCATAACATTTTAGTTTAGCTACAAGAATGGTATTCATTACTATGAACAACATTTGATGAATTCACAATTTGATTATATGCTGCTCGACTTGTTACAATAGGAATCACATGCGCGTGTAAAACAAATTTAAAGGTCTATGTCTGTAAGCATTCTGTTGACCTTATAATTTGTTTTGATTATGATGTTATATTGAATCCAGAAAAATTTTAAGTTTTAGAAAAACGAAAAAAAAGGGAGAACAACATTATCTCGGTGATTTCATTTCTGTCCTTAAATCAATTACTCTTTTTTTTCCAATATTTTAAATAAAGTAGATGATATATATAGTGTATATGAAAGATGACATCTATTGAACTAAACTGATCTCCAATACTGTTAATTTATTAGTTTTTTCTAGTTGAACTAAGTTCAATGCAATGAAAATATTTTTTTTGAAGTCGCTTCAGCCTCAAAATATAATTTTCTCATTGATAAAGATGAGAAATTAATCAGAAAAATTTACTTTCATGTTACTTTAATATGATTTTATTTTTTACAAAGCTTAAAATAAAATTTCAACTATTTATTGTTACTTACTTTGGAAATAAACTTCTATAGATAAAGAAAACACGAACTACTCTTCAATATCTTTTCAATAATGAAATTTTATGATCATAAATATCAAGATAAAACTTTTATCTTTTTTACTCTGACATTCGGCGCCCTCTTAAACAATTGTTCGTTGTTTGACATGTCTTCTCATCCAATTGAAATCATGAGTCTACCTTTTTTTGTCTTCTTTTCTCTCATCTCTTTATATTCTTGCTCCTTCTTTCCCTCTCTCTTCTCTTCTCTTCATACACCTGGTTTTTTTTTTGACTATTTCACATTTAATCATTAAAATGAAATAGACAATAGTAAAATAAAAGAATTTTATCAGTTACATAAATTCATCATCATTATAGTTTTCTTTTTTTTTTTAACTGCATATAATTACCTACATGTCATTTCATCTATTCATTGTTTAAAAGACTATACATATGCATATGTATGTATATATATAGTTGTATTTCTTTCGGCGACCCATTGATCGATCTCTTACCATTTTGTTCTTTCCCTCATCCGATGGCCTACATACATATAAAGTATAAAGAAACATAGCACATATGTATATTTTTCTCTCTTCTTGTTCTTCTTTGTACATCGTTAAAATCATCATCATCATTATCATCATCGTATACATTCTTTTACTATGATTTTTTTTTCTTATTTTCTTCTTTGTACTAGTTCTGATAAGATGCATTGTCTGAATAACTATTCAAAGAATCATATATCATGAAAGTAATTGTTAATTTTGGTGAAACAAAAGTCGTTGTACCATGTGGTATAAATGGTGATTTATCTATTCGAGAATTAATTCATTCAGCAACAACTAAATATTGTAAATTGGTAAGAATATATATATATATATACATATATTTGTACATACTAATTATTATTATTATATAAAATATTAGACACTAAATATATCTATATTGATCTTTTTGTCTGTTATATACGCACACAAAAAAAAAAAATCTTTTATTCTAGTCTTCCTGTACTAATGTTACTAATTTAAACAGTGATCAAGTCCAATTGAGACTTAATAATGGTGCTGTTGTTGATCCTGATGATCGAGTTTGTGATGTAGCTGATGATAGAGAAGAAGTAAATTTTGTTTTATTTAAATATTATTCTTTTAATTAATAACGTTCAAAAAAAAATTAATTTAGTTATTTGCTATTATTGAATCACATACAACAAATCTTAATAGCAATGGTGAATTATCTTCAAGTATAACAAGTTCAAATTTATCAACAAGTTTATCTGAACATGAACGTCCTGGTATACCACCTCCAATACCAATAACATCATTAAATAATCGTCATGAAGTTATTGTAACTGATGCTGATCTTCGAAGTATGTATTTTTAAACATATCATTATTAATTAAATTTTTAAGTAATAGGAAATCTACACCTATAAATCATCGAAAGTCATTTGAATATGTGTATATCGTTTTTTTTTTCACACTAATAGATATGTGGGTAATAATTAATAAGTAAAAGAAATATCTATGATGAATCATTTATGATATAAAGATCATTGAACTCTTTGTCAAAATAGAATATAATGATGGGAATATATAATATTTGTAATCATATGGTTTGAAGAGATGTATCACTTGTATTGTAACAATATACTTTTTTTTGAGATGAGATCCTTCGCAGTCGTTGCTCTTTTTATATGTCGGCCACGCCTTTATCATACCAACTGTTAAATTCTATTGCCTAGGACTTTAATAAAAATGTACATCAAATATTTGATAGTTGACAGAAAGGATTTAATCGTTGACAAGCTTGTTCTTTATGATATACCGCTAGTTTTTTTACTTGACTTTAATATCGTAATTGATGATGATTTAAAATTATTCTCATAGCAAAATCGCACTAAATAAAAATTTTAGTAAATTTTACTGTGATGAATATAAAAATTAAAATTTGCAGAAATTTAATTGTATTTTTTCTTGATATGTTCAACTTTATATTTGTTGTTCATATGCAAAGGTCAAAAAAATGAAATATGATAGTATCGTTTCTCAAAAAATGGGTTCCGGCTGTGATAAGTTGAAATTTCAACTTATCGATTTATGCTATATATTAATCTATGGTATTTAATTCTTTTTTTTTCCTGTAATTTTTAGCAACGAATAATATTGACATTTTGAGAAGGTTAAAAAAAAACTTATTCATACATTTCAAATGATTCATTATTAGAATACATAATGATTTGAATTTCTTTTATTTATGAGCTATTGAAACCTTTTTGAGATCGGGAAAAGATATTCGAATGATTTATATAGTTAATTAAAGTTAGAATTTAACTTTAAAAATATTGTTTAAAGAAAACTTAGAATATTGAATACATTAACTAATTAAATGCATATAAAATTTGTTTTAGACTTTTATTTCAAATACAAAAAAGAAAAAAAGAATTGATCATTAGTCTTTTCGACATAAATAACAAGTTTAATTTACACAAGATTTCAACGTAATTGTTTCGGAATTCTAGGACTTCATTCTTACTGAAACATATTTAATATTTATATAAAATAAGTTTTAAGATCTGATCTACAGATGTGCGGGATCGGGATCACAACAAAGAAAAGTTACTAAAATCCAATCAGAACACAATTCAAAAGAGATTACCCAAAAAGTACTAGTCATCAACTAGATAAATAAAAATAAAATGAGTATTGAAAAATTTTTTTAGATCTGATACAAAGAAATTCTGAAATAGTTTTTCCTAGACTGGGATCAAAACCTGAAATATGAAAACTACCGGTATCGGAATCACTAGAAAAGAAGTTACCGGAACCAAAAAACTTGTTTAATTTTCTGTTATCTATTAATGAATAAAAAATGATTATCACTTGGATTAAAATAGTTTGCTTCAATTTAACCCTTTTTTGCCTTTGGTCAAATCTGAAGGTTCGGAAAGACGATTCACTCAATAACATCGATCTTATGGCTCCTAAGATATACACAGGAATAGTTTGAACCAAACTCATCAACCACCAATATATTAAATATGTAATGCATTTGTTATTCTCTTTTATTTGAAAAGATTTTTGAAATTTACGATAAAGTAGGCACGATAACATGATTCATGTAAATGTATGAACAGCACATTCACATTGTAGGCTGAACATACTGTTCGCCTATCCAAACAACCCAATCTTATACACATTGCAAAAATTATTTTTATAGTAAAGATTAGATTCAGATTGTTGTTGGTTTAAAGTCCGCAATAGGTAGGGTTTAAGCCCTTCCTCTCCCCTTAAGAAAACCTAATTTTTCAAAGAAATATCGAAGTTTCCTTTTTTCAGAATATCTATGGGCTTTTGAAAAATGATCAGATTTTCAAAGACTTATCACATGAAACTTGGATTCTATCATCATATTTTTTGATAAGCTTTCGTAGTTTTTAAAGGTTTTAAGTTTTGGAAAAACTGTGTTGCCACTTACATAAGTATTGAGTAGAACATTTTTATATGAACGAGCATGTCAGATGGCGTTAGCTACCTTCATCTCTTACGTGCTTTAAAACGGCCCAGTGGAATGGATGAATTAGTAATATCCAATTGTACTATGATTTTCTCTGCATTTGAATAAAAAAAATCCATTTCTAAATTTGTTTATCATTTTTCTCAGAACACGCTTTTCAATCAGAAAAATTAGAACTCCTCCTTCCAGACTCAGACTATACTCCAATATTCTTTTTTTGTTTTAAAGGTCTGAAGGAGAGTACACTTTTGTCCGAACTTATTTTTAATATTTGATTCCAGGACTGAGAAAAGTGGAATTTACTGTCTTTGGATCACCATTTTTTATACTGATTTTTATATCATGTCATCAAAAATGCTCATAAAAATCAATGGAATTGAATTTCAAAATTCTGGTCGGACAAAAGTTGCGCACTGATATTAGCTTTAATTTGAAATCATTCCGAGTTCTCTACCTCATCTTACGAGGAAGTTATATCAATTTTCCTGAAGATCATATAAAATCTGTTTCTAAATATCTCATAGTTCAACAGAGCTAAATTTTTATAAAATGATCTCTATCGATACTACAGGACAAGAAAAGGTTAAGATGATCTCTATAGACAAATGAATAATAATATTGGATTAATTTTGTTTTTGATGTAAAATTTTTCATTTGACATTTAATTAAATGTTTCATGTATTTAGCTCGATCTTTACGTATCAAAACTGAATCGAATGACACACATCAAGTAATTAAAAAGCAGCAAAAAAAAAATTATTTATTTCTACTCATTCATTATTCAAAATTCTATTTTTTTTAGCAAAATATTATTAATAATATAAATAATCACAAACATTCTCCTTTAACTCAATCATCTGATAATAAAGGAATGTTTAATATTCATATTGATGAAAAGACTGGTGATAAAATATTTTCAATATCATTACCAAAAGAAAATAGTCCATTAGGTATACATGTTATTCCATATAATAGTAATGAAAATCAAGTAAATGGACTTGTTTTACAAAATATTGAATCTGATGGACGTATAAAACGTCAAGGTATATTAGAATTAAATGATCGTATTATAGAAATAAATCGGATTAATATTGAACGATGTTCATTTGAAGAGTAAGATAAAATTACATATATGTATATATAAATAAAATTTAATTTTTTTAAATAAAATTAGAGCTCAATTAATATTTCGAAATGCATTACTTGAATCTGCACTTGAATTAAAAATTGTTCGAAATATAAAAAAATCATCAATACCATTTTATTTAAATCAAAAAACTGATATTAATCAAAATACAAAATATTTAAGAAAAATAATTAAAATAACACTTGTTAAAGGTACAGATGGTCTTGGATTTAAATTAGCTTCACGTGATAATCCAACTGGTATAGCTAATCCAATATATGTTAAAACAATATTTGGTAAAGGTGCTGCTATTGAAGATGGTCGTTTACGTAATGGTGATCGTTTATTAACTGTTAATTCTATTGATGTTACACAAATGTCATTACAAGAAACGGTTGGTTTATTACGTGAAACAAAAATTGGTGATACTGTTCATTTATGCATATCAAGACAACATGATGGATCATTACCAGATGATTTAGTAAGTTGTTTATATTTTTCTTCTTATTTTTTTTTTTTTTTCATATTTTAATTAAATGATTGATGGATAGGTCAATGATGAAATAAAAAAACAAATCATGACATTTGATATACCATTACGAGATACATCATCAGCTGGTCTTGGTATAACACTCAAAGGAAAAACATCAATTATTGATGGAAAATCAATTGATTTAGGAATATTTGTTAAAAGTATTTTAACTGGTGGTGCAGCTTATCGAGTAAATTTTATTTTAAAAAAAATGAAAACGATAATCTTGTGAAACACGATCTAAAAGAAATGTTGAATTATAGGAATAAAAATTTAAATCCTTCTGGACTGTGATATACGATCACAGGATGTATATCAATAACATCTTGTTATTACTTCCTTATTACATTTCTTAAGGATTAAGTAAAAGTATGAGTGAAAAAAATGTATTTCAAAATAGATCGAATAGAATAATCTCTCTGTGATTAATGAGAGCAGTTACATCGTGTTTCACATTTTTAATTCCGCAGCCATTGTACTAATAATCTTTTTTTTTTTATGATTTAGGATAAACGACTTTGTTCAAATGATCAAATACATATTGTTAATGATGTATCACTTGTAAATATGTCAAATATAGAAGCTGCAACTATTTTACAAGATGCTGTACGAAAAGAAATTCAACCAGGATTTATTAAAATAACAATATCACGTTTATTAAATGATGAACAAGATTCAAATGCAAAACATGTTAAAGAAATTGAATTATTATCATCATCATTAGTAATGAATAATGATGAAAATGAATTAGATCTAACAAATTTTGTTCCATCTGTTAATCGAAAATATCCAATAAGTAAAAGACTTTTTTTTTTTTTTTGTTTTACTTTAAATAAAAATATTTTTAGAATCGGATATTCGTTCGACAATAAATCAATCACCTGCAAAAAATCAAACAACATTACATGAAAAACGTAAGTTCGAAATGAGAAAAATCTAATTTTTATTTTATTCTTTTATAATATTTTTAGAAAATCAAGAAGAAACTATCAATGAAAAGTAAGTTTTTACATAGAATATTAAAAAAAAGACGATCATTCTAACAAACATATTACAAAATTTCTGTATTATTCTCTTCACTTCATCATAATCAATTAAATCTGATACATTCAAATGTTATAGATTAATGCAAAAATATACTTTTATTTTTTTACTCGTATACAAGAGATCTTTCTGTCTCGTCTTAATGAAACAAAGAATCTTTGCAATAGAATCAATTCTTCATAAGATTAAATACAAAAAAAAATAGTCATGTTCAGTTTTTATCATCGAATATCGTCCAAATATTGAACTGTCGAAATAATCTCATGATTTTCAGATAAATATTCAATATAAATCTGATATTTTTGTCTTTAGTACAAATCCATTTGAACGTGAAACTCCATTTCGACAAAGTATTTCAGAAAAACGTCGTTTAAATCAACAACCTAATAATCAAGCTATACAATGGAAACAACGATCATTTCAAGATACTCGAACAAATAGTGAACGAAGTAAGTTCAAATCCAAAAAATAAATTAAACATTTACATTTTAATTTCTTAATAAAAAAAACTATATTAAACAGAGAAATTATATTTAATAATGACCGTATTATTTATTGAAATTCTTGATATATTCAATGAGAAATAAAAAACAATATAATGCATGCTTCTTATCTTTAAGATTATTTCTTATATCAATTATTTTTATAGGACAAGTAAATCGACCATTGCCTGATTCATCATCGAATTTTATACGTTCAACATCATATGAAAGTATTCATAGAGCAACAGAAGATGATGAACGAAAACGTCAAGCTAAATTACGTAATCGAGCTTGTAATGATTCATTTCGACAAGCTGTTGATAAATCTTATTGTCAAAATAATCATGATTGTATGATAAATATAATTTTAATTTTAATTATAGAAAAATTTTCTTAATTTAGATTCTATAAATGGTGATAAATCAAATAAAACAGATAAACAACGATTTAAATTTTCAAATTTATTTACTACAAAGTAAATTAAATAAATATTTATAGATATAATCGTTTTTTCTTCTTTGTTTAGATCAAAACGAAAAGAAAATCAAGATGAAAAGTATGACAAAATAATTATTCATTTTGTTCGAAAGAAACAAAAGAATTTTATTTTTCATTTTATAGATCAACATCAAATCAAACAACAAAAACTATTATTATTCATTCACAATCACCTTCTCATGATAATCAAACAATATTTTATCCACCTCCACCAACACCATTTAGTTCACGACAAGATCCAACATCACCTGCTAATAAATCAATCAAATATCAAAATGTATAAATAATTGTTTCAAATAATTATATTTCATTAGAAGTTTCCGAACGATAAGCAAAACTTTCTCTTTTAGTAATTTAAAAAAAATATTTAATTTTATTAACAAAGGAAAGAAACTTGTAATATGATAAATCTCTTTTAAGAGAAGTCTTACTTCAATAGGTAGGATGGTTGAAGAATAGCGAAAATCTGAGGGGATTCGAGCTCATAGCGAATTGCGGCCGTTTTACTATGAGTCAGGTATTCTAAAAAATAAAACAAAATGAAGAGTTTTTAGTCTATAGAACGGTTTAATAGTCATTAGATACTTCTGAAAGTTCTAACGAAAACGAACATGTCTATCTCGAGATATTCAATTTCCAAAAAAATGGCCGTAACTAGAGTCTGTCGAGCTCGGAATCAACCCGAGGGGTTCTAGCCGTAACTCCTTGCCAGTAGGTCAAGAGCTCGAACTTTTTTTTCGGCTTTGCCTTATCCTAATATATTCTATTGAATAAGTTAAAATGGCAGTGGATACTTCTCCTCGTCGTCAAATCATCTTTAAAATTGATTATCAAATTCAAATTTTGCATAAATAAATTTGTCAATATGATTTTGTTCTTACATTTCTATATACTAAAAAGTTGAACAATTCCAGTATGAATTAATCTTATTGAGAAATTTATTTCTGCAAAGGTTTGATCAATTTTTGGAAGTAATCTAAGTAAGATAAGATTATAGTATTTTGTTCAATAAAGTTCACTTAAATGTTTATAATTCAATACGAAACATTCATAATTATGAATTCACTATTTTTAATAAGTTCAATCTATTAAAGTAAAATTCATTTCAAAAATAGTTTATAACTTCATGAACTTTCTTCGTAATAGTAAATGTTTAAATAATAAGAAATATATCGAGTGTAACCACCCATTCAAACCATTTTGAAAAGAAGAAAAATGTTCTTATTTACTGAACCGTATGACATAATATTTTTCTGTCAATAGAAAATTGAAGTAGGAAAATAATACTAGAAAATACCAAAATAAAATTTTTTTTTTTTAATTTCCTTTCAATATTATATTTAATCATACAGTTCATTGAATCATTTCTTCATTTGATTGCCAAAGACAGAACATTCTTCTATAAAATTCATTGATATAGTTGATAACCAATAAGATAAGTTTAAAATTATTATTTAAATTCTATTATTGAGTTTGAATATTAGCATTATCATATCATATTAATAACTTGAATTTTCATATCTATTAATATATTTCAAATATTCTAAACTATATATAACATTATTCATTTAATAACTTATTAATTTTTATTTTAGAATGAACGTTCATTTACTAATTCTGCTTATCATCTATCAAATAATCAACAACAAGGTTATCAACCATATCGTTTTGATTCTCATCAAATATCTTATAATCAAAAAAACATTGAACAATCTACACCAATACATCATGAATTAAAAATTATATCTGGTAAATCATCTTTATCAACTAATCTTCAAAAATCTTCACATCCACCAATTCCACAACAATTTTTACAATCAAATATTAATGGTACACAATCATTAAAACATCATCAAATTATATCACGTTCACCTTATCCATCAACATTTCTTGTTCAATCAAATCATTTAAATTCTCATAATCATAATAAAGATATATCAAATAATACATCTCAACAAATAAAACGAACAAGTTATACAATATCATCACGTAATTTTTTACCATTTGAAAATCCAGCTAATGTTTAATATAAACAAAAATGTTTTACTTCTAGAAGTTATTTTATTTTTGTTTTCTGTTTATTATCATTCATGGATTTCTACGTGTGTGCTTTTCTTTTCTCTCTTTTGATTATGTCAGATATTGGTTAATTTTTTCTTTCTTTTTGTATTGTATTGTAAATATATGCTTTGCCTTTTTTTTCCACTACACATCATGTAAATGTACGAACGAGAATATAAGAAATGTGCATGTTTATAATCATCGTTCTTCGTTTTTTTTTGGCGGCAAATAAAAAAAAAAAATGGTCTTTAGGTTTAAATAAAATTGAATAAATAAACCTTGATTTTTATTTAACATACTAATTATAATATAGTTTTTAATGATAAAAATACTTTTTTTATCTAATGGATAAATGGATAGAAATTTTTGCCATTCGATGTCTTCAAGTTTCTTACAAATACAATATAATTAATTAGATAACTATGTCATCACTAGACGTATAAATCAATGAAGACTAACATATATAATGATATTTATATGTCATGGAAAAATCTTCCATATATAGCAAAAGATGACCTCAACCATTCGATTACAATTCATCATGAGTTTGATGTCATGTTCGGTTTTTTTTTCTTCTTTCGTTACTCGTTTACATAGATGTATGAATCTTAACAAGTGCTATTAGCATATGTGTTAAATGGAAAAAAAAAACCGACCGATTATCGTTTATGTATGACAACATTTAAAGCGAGACAGATATGTATATATATTGATTTTAATGTTCTATTGATGATGGTCTTGCCACAATTATTACTTCTTTTCTTCATCGGTAAATATATTTGTCTATAGATTGAGTATATAAAAATACATATGTGTATATGTAGAAAATCAGTAATCGTTTGCAGCTTGATGTGACGACAAAAGCAATCTGTATCTAATGTCGTGGACGCGTCATATAGACTTTGAGTAAATAATTCGAGCGTTCGTATTAACGCGAACTATGTCGTTGATGATGATAGATGTACTTGATTGAAAAACAGCAGCTGGTAATCTTTTCTTTTTTCTTTTTCTTTTTGTCTAGATGACACGATGGTTGAATCGATATATGGTACGTGTGTTAATCAATTCATCAAAATAAGATCATTGGTAAAGAGATATATCTATACTTTTCTGTCCTTTTTTTTTTTTAAATATTATAATAAGTGTAATGGTCACTCTTTTGTTTCATTGATTGAGTAGCCATCCGTTCAAACAATAGCATTTGATAAATGATCTGATTTCTTTCTTTCGTTCATTCGTTTTTTTTCAATAACATTCATCGTCCAGACAGACGATGTGTCGTCTGCATCATAAGCAAGATTTTGTAACAAGCACATACATATATATATTTATAAAGATATATATATATATATATATATACATGTATGTATCACAGCTTATAAAGAAAATGTCATCGAAAAGCTTCGAATTATTGGAAAAAAAACAATAGATTTGTCAACGACTAATAGCCTTTACCTAGAATTATGAAATTCTTTATTAAGCCCAATCGGTCAATAAAACAAATCTTTAAAAAAGACAATCCACGTTATGCAATAGTTAACATAACATATTCGACCTAGTTGTCAACAAATTTTATTGTCTTATTTCATCAATATATATATATATATATATATATGTGATTGATTAGTTATATTATTTATTTACTAGAAAATAAAGGTAAATCAGTTGAGTGTGAACTCAAAAATCTAGATTAAAAATTATTATTTCATAAGTTTACTTCTATGATCAGTTATTCTTTTTTTCTTTTTTTTTGTCAAAAAAAACATACTTAAATGATTACATGTAGAAAGTTGACAGATACATATCTTTAATTAAAAATAATCATATATCATCATTAAAATACATTTAACGAATATGCATTGAAAGATATCGATGTCGTTGTCAGTAATAATGAATCAAGAGACACCAATAAGTAGTGCAATATATATATATATATACTATTAGATAATCGATTTCAATTATCTAAGTGAGCTATTATGATGATATAGAGCAACTGGTTTTTGTTCAATTGAATAGAGTCGTCTTTTTTCTATCATTTTTATAGTCTCGAAGAAAAAGAAATATGATTTTTCTCGCCGAAGATGATAAGAAAAAAAACACGACGACGACGACGAGACAACGGTCGATGTTTAAGTAAAAATCGCATTATGTGAATGTGAAAGGACACATTGCAGTAGTAACATAAACTTCCAAAGAGAAAAAAGAAATCGACCATGTATTGCACTCACATACGTTTGTTGTCTCTATTTTTTCTTTCTCCTTTTTCTTTTATTCGCTTTTCCTTTTATATGCCAAACAAAACTAAAGTATTCACTATAACATATGAGTATCAGAGAGTAATGTTTGGTGTCAATTCATAGAAAAAAAAATAACAGAATAGCATTAACGGTAACTTTATTATTCGCTATGAAGTCATTTTCATTTCGTATACAATTCAAACTTATTGAACTATGTATGTTTATGTTAGTAGGGTTTTCTTTCCTTTTTTTTTTTTTATGTTTAACAATCATTATTTAGTATTGTATTTCATTGATTAGAAGACAACCTTGATAGAAAACAACAGTTCCATATTTATAGTCTAACAGTTATTATGGCACTGATAAATATATATATTTTTACCTTGATGAAAATAGCGTCATAGTGACAATATTTTTTCTTTCAATAAAGCGACGATTCTATCGAGTCTCGTTTTTTTCTTTTTTACTCGCCTACGTGTGCTTAAAAAATACTTTTTTTTTTTCGTTGTCCTTATGCAATACAAGAATAGAATAGCAATTCTTTTTTGGAAAGAACCAGAACGTTTCTTTTTTTTTTCTTACTTATTTTGATCGGAGGAGATTTATTTTTTATTTTTTTATATTTGTCAAAAATAAGGTAAAGGTAAAAGTATTGTATATATATGTGTGAACTAAAGGAGGGGCGTCTGTTTATTGAGATCAAAATTAATTAAATCTAATGAATGCTTAGCTTATATGTAGAATACGAACAATTATATCTATCGTAAATATTTGGATTAAACGAGAATATCTATGTGTTGAACATTTTATCACTTTCATTTAAACAGGATAAGATGAAGTTATTACTTTAGTATCTTTTCTTTTTATCACAATAGATTTTCTTTTATTATTTAATGAAGATGTAAATAAGTAATTTGTTAGTCTTTTCATCTAGAACATCCATTTCTCAGTAATAAAAATCTATAAGTCATGATTGATATATTTGTTTTTTTTTCCAACGGTCAAGGCTTAGAAATATAATTAAATTCTTTTTCTTTCTTATATAATTCAATGTGGAATAATAATATCAGAATCATTATCGATTATTATCTAACAAAGACTGTTCTTAATCATTAACGTTCTTTTATACTCGTGTACTTTTAATAAAAAGAAAAATACTAATGACTAAGAAGCATAGGATTTTTTTTTCTTCTTTTTCTTTATAATGATGAGTTTTCTTTCCGAACTTCCTATTCATTTAAGATAAGAGAGAAAAAGAAGAAGAAGAGAAAGAAACGCAGAAAAAGGAAATTAGAGCGCATTTATTATCTTAGGATGTTGACAGACGAGATTATTATAAATGGTACTTGACAACAAATATTTTCGATTCGAATGTTAAGAAAAAAAAGTCGATACATATAGACTATGTCATATGATTGATTAACATTCACATAATTAAATGTTTCTAGACTATATAGGAATGTGATTGTAATAAGAATTAATTAAGAACGAAGAATAGTCATTTAGAAAGTTTTTCAAAGACAATTGGTATTACAAATATATCAGGTAGATGTTTTTTTTTTTTTTTTTTTTTTAAATTTAGAATTTTAATTAATAGAAAGAAAAGATCAACAGTTGAATTTTTTATTCGAATAAAAATTATGAACTTTTTAAAATAATAACATAATTATATATATATATATATGTATTTCGTAGAATTTAATGATCTCTACCTGACGGTAGTACGACATGTGAGCTTGCGTAAATTCAATTTATTCATACAAATGATTATTGAGATTAAAAGTTGTCAAAAAGCTATTAGTCTTTTGAAAAATTTATTTCATTTTTATCTATTAAAAGCAGTGACTGAACGCAAGTTTTATTTTTTTTTTCTGTTTGCTCCTATATGTTTTTCGTTCTACTAGGGATATACAATCATAAGATTCATTTGATGTGTCGCATCAGTGCCTAAAAATCATTACAATTCGTTTTCTAGCTGCTAATGAGACACACATGTCGAATGAGTTGTATGGTTACAAATTTACAGAAGAACATATAAGTATTAGATCTATCGGAAGAAAATCTTTTAAGTACTTGCATTCAGTCTCTAATAAAAAGCAGCAATGAAATCTTCTATTTATCCATTCATAAACAGGATGCATTTTGTCGCTTTTTATTCTTGATTGCAATTTCTCATCCATAATCAAATTTGATGAATTTCAGTGCTACAAATCTTTTTTTGAAGATTGAATCCAAAATCTTCATATAGAACAATATGAAAATGTGATGATGGTTGATAAAAAAAGACAAAGGACACAGTACGTGATGCTTATAAAAATATGAGTGAGTAACTAGGATATAAATCTTTGAAAAGAGTTATGAGAGAGCATATTTAAATGTCAAATTACTTTTAAATCAGAATGACGGGCATCCTGTAGGTACTGATGAACTATGAATGCCCTGAAAAGAGTTCAGGTCAATAGCCTCTTATTGCCAAGATATTTTTTTTCTTTTACCATACAGGAACACTAGAAAAACTAAGTTTCGAATTTCAACTTGAAACTTTATATAGAGACAAGTCGAAATTCGAAACTTAGTTTTTCCAATATTTCTGTACGGTAAAAATAGAGTATCTCGACAATGATAAATTATTAACCTGAACTCTTTTCAGAGCATTCATAGTTCATTAGAACCTACGTGATACACATTATCTCGACTCAAAAGTAGTTTGACACTTAAAAAAAAACATT